TGTGGCAGAAACGATTGAATAAATAAATAAATGCTAAGACACCACAAGTATCTAAAGAAAATATTACATTCTCACAGAAAGCTTACTACATTCAGCCAAGATTCAAACTCATGTAAAAAGAAAACGTCCTGTTTCCACCGACTCATTTCACTTCACAGTGATAATAAACCACCTCAGGGAGACCCTGATCTTTTTTCTTGCAACTCAAAAATCGGAAGTAGCTTAGTGGTTTCAAAATTCTTCGACACACATACAAAAAACCCTCATAAGACATCATGCTTCAAATTCAGTCTCGCGCACGCGCAGGTCGAGTATTTAATATCAACATAATCACCTGTGACGATGCGGGGCATAGTTTACATAAGCCCACGTCATCATGAAAAATGTCCCTTGATTTTAGTGGTGTGCGATACACTCAATTCCTATGCGATCCACTACCAAGTAATACCCAGGCTGGTATTGCCGATAACGATACCAATACTTTTACATATTTTATTTCTAGTTTAATGTGACCTCCCTCCTCCTGTTTCTGTATTTATGAGAGAAATAATGAGTAGGCTGTAGCCTTACCAATTCAAAATAACAGCTACATAATGACAAGACATCAAACTACTGTCATATTCTTTAATTATAATGAAAATATCCTGCTCAGAACTGTCGCTTCATAACATCATCATATTATTTTGACTTAATCTCAGATGTTTAGCGAAGTTTGAGGTGTTGCCAAAGTATTTCACTGTCTTTGCACACACATCACACACAGCGTCATTATTACCTTCACAGTTAAAATACAGCCAGTCATAACTGCTTTTACAGTCAGCCAGAGTCAGTATTCAATCGAGGGAAATGTAAAGGGCTACAGCGGCTCACTTCAAAGAAGCTCCGTCACAGAGCCAAGCATGATTTTGACAGGCAGAAGGAAAAGTAGTTCCTATCAACAGAGTAGCCTATAATTAGACCATCCTGATGACAGTAAGATACTTATGATAAAACACACACTCACTCCAAATTACTGAGTTTAGATATCGATCCTTTTATATGAGTATCGATCCTAGAGCAGGAAATGTTGGTATCAGAAATATCAATACTTTAGGATCGATCCGCACATCACTACTTGATTCTTCTTGCAGTTAATCCGCGAATGCAGTTTTAATTGAAGGAAGGAAGGAAGTCATATTGTCGCTAGAAGCCCTGCAACTGCATGGCTGGAGCTATGGTTTCGTCCTCCAAGGGCTGCGCTTAATGAGTACGGCTGCGCTCCTAAACCTGCTGTTAGATCGGTGTTTTCACCTGCAATCAGCACGGGTTACGGACAAGCCAGCGCGTGTCTCTCCAGCTCTGGAGTTAGGCTGGCGAGGTGAGTGTTTCCTTATTTAAAAATAAGTTGCTATTTTTAAGTGTGGAGCCTGTTTTCGTGTCTCCTTGACTTTTTCGTTTACTGTTTGTTTCATGCTTAGCGTTGATTCTTAGTTGATTGTAGGCTCCCTGCCGAGTATTTTCGCTCGTTAAGGCATGTCAATTTTAACCTTACCTTATCCTTTGGTAAAGAGTGTCGGCTCCCTGGTAAACTAAACAGCTACATATCTGGGTGATTTTCTCACTCTGATCTGTTACTCTTAAGTTATTTTGCTTATGGGTACAATTTACTTTTATTGTTAAGAGGATGAGTTATTTTCATTTGTCTTCAATAACAAGCAAAGACAAAGAAGGAGCTCACTCTGATCTGTTATTTTGGGTGTTTTCGCTCATAGATAACAGTTAAAAGTAAAGCTGCATAAATATGCAGGGTCCCACCATGTTAGAGACTCATGTTTATCACTCCTGCATGGCTTCACTGCTGCCTGCCGATGGCCATGATGAATGCCCCACATGCCTTGGTGTTACTCAATGGAGAGAGGGGCTGTCCGACAGTCAGTGCATGAATTGCAGTTTTATGCCACAGGAACTGAAGCTAGCCCGTCTAGCAGAGGTGTAAGGACTGCAGCTTGAAGGCCAGTTGCCTTCATCTGGTGTGGCTCCAAATGTGCGGAGTAGGCATAGTCGCCACCCACTTTTCAGGCCTAGAAAGAAAGCCAAGAAGGTGGATGGTTTGGCAGCCAAGGTAGACACATTAGCCTCAGAAATCGCTGAGATTAAGAGGTTGCTCCTTAAACTTAGGACAGACTTGGACAGGGAGAAGTGGAGGCTTCCACCCGTGTTTCTGACACCGGTTCCCAGCAGACAGGGAGTGGGTCCAGAGCAGGCTCAGAGGCTGCCCATGCCACAAATAAGCCAGGTATTTCTGTGCTACCTTCCCAGCCACACATTGAGGAGACACCAAAGCTTTTTCTCACCACACAACTGATGGCAGAGCCTTGGCTGCCATTCAGAATGCCAGCAGTTATGGGCTGGGCCAGATGCCAGCTGTGGAACCAGTTATCGCGACACTCGTGTGTCACCCACTGAGGTGTTGAGACCGGATGCTCGCTGTCCCAGGCCACAGTGTTGCATTACAGATGACTTTCTAGTGAGAGGTTATGATACAGCAGCACGCATGGGCCATATTGGAAACTCTTTTTCCCACCTCGTATTAGCTCTGTCCCAGTCTCTGCAATCCTTGGATGCTTCCATCCAGAGCCTCAGTGATACATCTTTGCAGGCGTTTGCCCTTATGACTAGAGAGCCCCAAAGGTCTTAACGAGGTGCTTGCGGGCAGCGCTGGCTCTGATGCAAGCCAATGGTATGCAGATTCTCTCATATTTGGACAACTAGCTTATTTGTACTCCGAGCCAGGAACAGGCAGAAGACGACGCTGTCTCACTTCTATGTCATGTGACAAGGTTGGGCCTGACTGTCAAGTACTCCAAAAGTTGTCTGATACCCAGCCAAAGGGTTATTTTCATTGGATTAACCCTGGACTCCTGCCAAATGCTGGCCTTCCCAACTCCACAGCGGGTAGAGGCCACACTCCAGCTTCTCTGTCATTTTCAGAGGAACAGGAGGTTGAGGTACAGCCTTTTTCTCAGGTTGATGGGTATGCTGACCTCTGTAACATCAGTGGTGCCGCTGGGCACTCCATTGGCCTCCATTTAGATCCACGGTTACACGGATCCAAGAGAGTCAGGGTGTCCACTTGATGCAAAATCTATTCTTTGACATGTTTTCTGAAAAAATGCACCCATGCAGATTATATACTTTTGCCCGATATTGTGAGTCAATCATACATTATGGCTCAGCAGGACTGCATTCACATGTGTTTGACACATTCAAACCTACATACTTTCCTCATTTCCCGTCAATAAATGTGTGACCTGTCATCACGAGTCAGACTCTTTCATGATAAAGCTGAACATCAATTGTTCAACATGAACTAGTGGGTTTTGAGTGAATGCATTCATAATACCTGCTGGTATAGTCTTTGATATCTGGCTAATTGTTCATACATTTCCAGACTGTACTGTCACAGGGAAAGTAAACTCAAAAGGTTAAGTGGTTTGTCTATTATATATAGCTTCTAAAACCTGGAGAGTGGTGTTAAAGCTATTTTATTGAGTGGGGAAAAAATGATAAATTTTCAAATGTCAAGTCTCACGTAGTGTAATTAATGTCTCAGAATTCATCATTACTAATGCATCATTTACTCCGTAAATTACATGAAAACACCACTGTTATTTGTTCAGATGTCTGTCAACACTAAATGCATGTTTTCCTCTCCACTTGGTTCAAGAAATGAAAATAACCACCTGCAATTAGTCTCATTGCTTGAAGAGGTGAGACAACAACAAATCTCTACAACTTAAGATTTTTATTTTCAATTTAACTTGCAATCACTAAAAAAATAAGTTTTATCTCATCTAGAGACATCTGTAGCAACTCTGCTGTAACAGGACCCAAGAAATTTCTGTTCAAGGTGAAGTATTTTATTGTCAGTGATATCAGCTCCTGAGGACAGAAATGTTATCCTTCGAGGAGACCAACAGCTGTGTCAAAATTAAACCTCCAAGTCTTCTTGTCAACAACACAAAACATTAGATCTGATGATGTCACTGTGGCTGTAAATGGTGTAATGGTGTTGAATTGATAATTTATTGAATGGATCCAGGCGGAGTCAGTGCCTCATTCGGATATTTAAGGTGACACCTTTTCTGTTGGTCTGTATTGACGGTGGGGGATTTGGGAAAAGTGGAGACATTTTATCAGAGAAAGAGTTTAACTGAACAACGCAGAACTGGACTTGGTTAAACTGTTATAGTACAGACAGTATTTACCACACAGCGTTTCAGCATTACCCAACAAAATCTCGAGTTCAAAATTTGCATTTTGATTTTAAATTGCTTTTATGGTAATTTTATTCAATACATATTTAATTTAATATTGCAGAGTTTGAAAGGGCTCTTAGATGGGCAAATATTCAAAAATATTCTGTATTTCTGGGATGCTGTCATCCATTGTTTGTCTATTTTGTTTATTTTTTTTTCTACAGTAGAGACCTTTCTACAAAGCAACTTTTACAATATGTTTATAATCCCCTGAAAAGTAGGGAAACTACACATAATTAGTAATTATTAATATGTAACACTGAGCTAATCTACTTCATCGGGACTGTGAGGGTGTGGTTTGATCAGATTTAAACAATGACATGGGAACCTAAACTAACAACCCCACGACTGTCATCATATTTGATTCAAATGTTGTAAAATCCTGATTGGTGCATGTAAGTACAAAACTTTGTTTTTCCCAGTAGAGCCCAGCCACATTCCAACCAGTAAGAACCGTTCAGACTTTAAACACAAATGCAGAAATCTCTCCTGTGAAATGTTCTGTAGGATCCCATCGCCCAAGCTGATTGAGAAAATATATTTTCCGGGCCTTTCAGACAAGCAAGTCTTTCCTACCTAATAATTTCTTTACATTTTTCTCCAAGTGGTCAACAAAATATTTGTGATTTCTTTTCATTAAACATCAACCCATTTGTTTTGGAGTAAAGACCTGTCTGTGTTTACAAACTGACGACACTTGACTTGAGGTACTTAATTCTTTGGCACAACCAAAGCTTCAATTTAATTCACTCATTCAAAAGAAAGCACAAAAGTCAGATTCTTCAACTTTCATTCTAACAAACCATCATCCTATAGGTACAGGGAGAGAGCTCGCTTTCAGAGCATTTAGTGGCTGGGTGAGCACAAAACTCAACGCAAAACCAACATTCAGGAGTGGTGAGATATATATTCCTATTAAAATTGGGTTAACAAAATGAATCAATTCAAATGAAATGGGTAAGTTAGTTTCCATGATTCCACATTATTGCCTGCACACACTGATGATAAATCAGACTTTCACAGCATATGCATATTGCCCACATCTTAACAGTGGCAATGACATTTGACTAATATGCTCCACGTACTGTCTTTAGAGAAAAACAAGGCTCAGTACATTCTTCAGTCAGTGTAGCTATTTTCAGCAATGCAGTAACACACACACATACACACACACACACACACAAAAATTACAAAATAACGAACAAAGTAAATATTGGCACTTTCTACAGAGGAGCTGAGAGAAGCACAGCAGCAACAGTGACAGGGTGGGGTTTGGCGTGGGTGAAGTGGACAATTTAACTAACTGGTTAAATGGCTAGCAAAGACTTCTCGTAGAAGATGCAGTCTAACACTTTTTATGAAACCTGTTGTCCAGAGTCTGCGTTATCTACAGTGCTGTGACAAAGTTTGAGCACCTCGCATACTGTTTAATCTGGACTCTAGAGCTATTACTGGGTGCACATCACCATCCACAATATGCTCATGTTAACCACATCGCCCTGAAGTCCAACATGGTTCCATTTAGATCTGTTATGAGGTTGTAATGGCTAAAAGTCTGAATTATCCTAATCTTTGTTGGGTGTCATACCTGCCTCTCTCCCCTTGTCTCCTGTCTGTTTCTATACTATTAATTATCCAGTAAAGGTAACTGTTACTCAAAAAGGTTATAGTTTCGCTCTGTTTGTTTGCAGGACATCTCAAAATTGTAAACATATTTCAATGAAATCTGGTGAAATAGGCCGAGGAACACGTGATTTGTTTTAAAGCATTCTCAGCCATTATGGAACATTTTTGCTTTATTCCAACAAACTACTGCACTTGAGAAGACACTGACATACATCTCCTAGAATGAATTTTAGTTTGTAGTTCTGCCTCAAAATACAAAACAAAAAAGTACTGAAATATAGAATAAGGATGAAGGAATCTCCACACATCAGCCAACTCAGAGCACACACAGCACCTTATTAAAAATCTCTTCCTATAACTGTGTTCTCCAGATCTCTTCATTCAAGAAGAGCAATGCGTTTGTTTCCACCAAAACAAAATCAGGTGTCACTCCAGTAAAAGAAAGAATCACCTAATGTGTTGAACATTTTGGAGAACTTTATCAAATTCACAGAAAGCCTTTTTCCCTGAGTTGTTTTGAGGGAAAGACGTTGAATCTTTCATTATGTGTATTCTGTTGGCGTCACACACTAAAAAAAAATGCTTAAACATTTTTATTATTAATATAAAAAATGTTTGCCATTTTTGTGGAGGTCTGCACTCAGAGTGCCTTCTAATATAATTTTAAAAGCATTTATTGATCAATAGCTGCGGAAAAATCAATTTAATCTAAAAAAACAACTCAAGGCATATAAAAACTTTTTCACAGCACTGTAGTCTCCCCCAGAAACCATATGGGCTTTACAAAAGCAATAATGGGGCGCTGTCAGGGATTTCTTTAACTCATAAAAAAGTACAACAATATCTGTATGTGTGGTTGTGTGTACAAAGTGGAGGGTGCAGAGTCATGTGGAGCTATTTGCAGCTGGGAGGCAGATAGTAGGGGTGAAACAGTCTCTCATGGCTGCAGATGTGCAGAGCGGCGTGCGTGTGCAACAGTAACCGTGGAAACCGTGAGGTGAAGTAGCTGACGAAGCCTTCGGGCAGCTCGCCGAGAGTCTCCTGCACCTCAGGTGGCAACTCGTGGTAGTGATGCTTCTGTAACATGCAATGTTAACTGATGTTACTGATGTGTCAAAGTGTGTCTACTTGTATTAAAAAAAATGTCATGTAAGCATGCACGCTGACCTTGTTCCTCATGGCTCTCAGAAGATCTCTGACTGAATTTCCTTTGTATGTCCTGAACCGCCTCAAGTCTGGAATGTGCACAGGAAGAAATGGATTACAAACCAGTGACAGCTTTGTCATCCTGCACAGGTGTAAACAGTGCAGTTATGTGATACTATGTGTGTACCTGTCTGTAGAGGCACAGATATGTGCATCCTCCAGTTGGTTCGAACCACTGCTCTTCCTGCAGTCTCCAGTCTGACCACAATCGGGCTGTCTGCTGGTTCCTTCTCTATGCGGTCACTCACGTCCTACATACACACCAACATACACAAAAAAATTGTTTTGCAGTTCACAGACAGGCACATGAGGCTAAGTAAAAAGGGACACACAAACCACACATCTCCTCCTTGCACATTATTGATTATCAAAAAATAAACATCTAATGAGAGCTGTACCTTTGTGTATCCAGGACCAAGATGAACAAGAGAGATTTAGCACACCTGGAAAAAGAGCAGCTGCTTCTCGGGGTGCCAGAAGAACGGATGTTTGAGCACACAGGTGGTGGAGGGGCGGGACTCCGGCTCAGCGCTGATCATTTGCTCAATCAGGTCCTGTGCTATGACGTCATCTGGATTTGAGGGAGAAATGGTCTTCAGATTTTCATGTATTATATCATGTCTGAATATTCATGTGCAAAACACAACCTGCACCACTATTCTGTTAAATTTTGCAATTACAGCAATGTCTGAAAATTGTACGTAAACCATAAAGAAATTGTGATTATTTAAGGGATCATCATAAGGGGTCAGAGCTCAAGTCATAGCAAGAATCCCAAATCCATAAATATAGATGTATTCAAATCTCTCCAGGCTTAATCTTGAAGAACAAGCATACTGAATTTCTAATTAACAATATCATCATCATAACAAACTACTATAGAGTTAAAACTGGATAAATGTCGTAAATCCCCACCAATTATCTCTACTTAACAAATGCCAGGAATTCCAGGAAACCCGTTTTATTTTTTCGTCAAGGTAAGATGTGAAGGAGAAGTCATAAGGACTCACTGTGTAGATCCTCCATAAAATGCGAGAGTGAATATTCTCCTGCGAGGATGTTGATCTGTCGTCTTAATGCATCACCAAAAGGGTGCTGCCCCTTGCTGACCACGTAGTAGAACACACAGCCTGCTGAGAACACGTCCACTGCCGCTGTCTGCAGAGAGAAGAGGATAACACTGGAACAGAGGACCAAGAAATACAGACACTGTACTACAAAACAAAACATCCATATCTCCTACATCAGAGGTTTCAAACAAGTAATCAATATTTTATAGGACATTTGGCACTTGCTCCATGCTTTTAAATATAAAAGTCCAAAATTTGAAACCGTTTTATCATCTATAACTACAATCCATTTTTCTCGCTGTGGGCCTTTTAGCCAACAAGATCTGTGACTGCTCAAAGCAAGACAATCCTGCTGTATGCAATATGTGTGCGCACCCTACCGGTTTTTTGATAGAAGTTTCCCGCAGCACTTCTGGAGCTATCCACCCTTCAGTTCCTGGTATTCCTGACCGCAAAGAGAAGCTGGTCCGACCATCTGGGATCTTCTTACAGAGCCCAAAGTCAGAGATTAGAGCTCGGACCTGACCCAGCGCACTGGGACCAGAGAGGAGGATGTTTCTAGGCTTCAGGTCACGATGAACTACAGGAAGAGCAAAGAAAAAAAATTTAGTTTTCCAGAAACATCATTTGTGTATACACGTTTCTGTGTACAGACCTATGTTGAGTGAGTGGAGGTGTGAAAGGCCACACATGGTCTGTTCCAGCAGAGTTATAGGATTCAACTCAGGAAAGCAAGATGGATCCTCCACATACTGCAGAGATCACAGACACAAAAAAATGTTTGTTTTGTTGTTAGGGGATGTCTTTTTAAATGACTGCTTCATAACAATAATAAAAGGTCATTTACGAAGGCCCTACAGTACCGACCTGCTGCAGGGTTGCAGCACACAGCTCGATGGCGATGTAGGTGAAGAGGTGATCTCTCTCTGTGCAGAAATATCTGATGACATTCGGGTGTGTGTCAGACTCTCGGAGGAGCTGTACCTCACGCTCTGCTACCTCAAAACACTCCGGCAGGATTCGCTTCACCGCTACTTGGCGTCCATCAAAGTTACCCCTAAAGTCACAAAAACAGAGCATCATAACATATTATGCTATGAACAATAAAGTTGATCTCAGAAAGCCAGTGGTTAGTAATAGTAAAGGACATTTGCTGTTTTTACAGTAAATCACAGGTGTGAACGGTTTAAAGCTACTTTATGTCAGTGGTGACCATTTTTCAAAGCATTCTGTATTTAGTTTGATTTTTGGCTTATGTTCTTTTCCATACAGTATGAAAAACCAACTAGGTATTTTGACATGTCACAGTAGGAAAAGCACAGGTGTAAATTAAAAAAATGATCATTGCTGCATTCCATTTAGCTGCTTAAGTTTCAGGTTCCTGGTATTGTGTATGCTGCCTTACTGTCACAGTGTACTTGGGTACCTGAAAAGAACAGAGCCATTGTTAATGTTATTAGTAACGCCTGTGCTTTTCTACTGTGACAAGTCAAATGTCTTATGGCCTTTTGCTGAGCTACTGAGGCCACAGCTTTTTGAGATCACAGTGACCATTTTGTCACCATCATATTGTGTTCAATATTCATTTTCATTATATACACTCCATTACGAGCGGTTTCTTTAGACAGCTTCTCTGATGGTGTGTTCACGGATGCTCTACAATCCACAATTTGACAGCAGCCTTTCCAATACAACAAATAACCAAAGGTGGTAATAAACAAAAGCCTAACTGGCTGGAAAGAAGTCAATCTCACAACGTGCTTGAAAATGTTTGATAGGAATATACACAAATGCAAAAGCACACCTGTTTTGCACTTAATGATATAAAACATGCAAATCCACTAATATGGTCATTTGATTAGGGCCAGTGCCATTAACTTTTAAAACAGTGCTGTGTTAAAATACAAATCCTCTACCTGAAAAGAAAGGTTCCCGCTGTGCCGTGTCCCAGCACCTCAGATGGACTGAAGGAGATTTTTCCCACCTGCACCTCGTCACTGTTTCCTTTTGAGAGTGGTAGGACGGAAGAATGAAGCAGCAAAAAGTTAATCTCATCTTGATGGTGAGAGAATTAAATCATATATAGTTTGTCTAAACGTCTTGGTGTGTTTACCTGCTTTGGGTTTGAGCCCAGTAGTGCCATTTTTATCAACATCTGAGGTGCTGCTGCTGTGAGTGTGAGGACTCAGTGGAGGGTCAGAAGATTCAGGCTGAGAGTCTGGATATAGTTAAGTAAAGATATATTCTATGTGTTATATATAATATGTGTCTTGCATATAACTAACTTTTCTGTGCACAATTGAATCAAGGAATGAATAATATATTTAAGATTTCTGCTTTGAAGAAAATTCTGCTTCAACGCTACTTTATACATTTTAATAATCCGTCATTCTCAGGTTTAGCGCAAAGAAAAACATTAAATCACTGAACTGGATGCCAAGGTCACTCAATACAGAGAATACAGCATAACAGAGAACTTGTCTTACAAGTTACTTACCACTAGAAAGGTTTATATCAGTAGAAGGGGTTGTCTCTAAAGAAACCAAGGTCACTGGCTGCATGTTGGGCTGCATGCTGGTCTGCATGTTGGTCTGCATGCACTGGAAACGAGACTCAAAAGCCTCCTCCAGCTGCCTTTGAGCTTTCAGCTGCTGTGCCGCACGCTGGAAAAACACACACAGATACAGATCACATGAAATGCTGTTAGAAGATGGAGTCTGAGACACCAGTATTGAGAATATTGAAGAGGATAAATAAATGAAGCTCTTTGAGAAAGATCATCCTTTGCAACACTGTCAATAAAAACAACATTCAGCCCAAATGTCGTAGGAGAAAATTCCAGCAAAAAAGAGAGCTTAAAAAAGAGGCATTTGAAGTGCATACCACCTCAAAATCACTATTTTATCACTATTTAGTGATAAATAATGCTCCATAAATAAATTGATTCATGCATGAACTTATACATATTTCTAACGTGATTGTCTTCATTTGACACATTGGTGCTATTAACGAGTTTCATAGTGTAACACGGTACGTCTGAGCTTGGAACGATCATCACTCTGATAATCCCCTTGAGCTGAGCGAGTGAAATTTCACTATACAAAAAATTAACTTATTATTATGGCTAATGTCTGCAGGCTGGTGCTCAAAATTCTAATTAGATCATTGAGTCTGTAGGGATAAGCTTTGGTGTAAATATGATGTGTCTATCATGTACTGTTGGTATCATTATGACTTAATCTCTGTTTCATCATGCGTACCCTGGCAAAAATGACAGGACATGATAACATCAACAGGAAATCAACAGGGAATTTTGCATTTATTTTGTTTTCTTATTCCTGTTAATAATACACAATTATTAGATCCAAGAGGTCTAAAAAACTTGTTCAATGCATTTCTTTCCTCATTAAACATTTGCAAAGCGGATTCTTTTTAATCCAGTATCGTTTGCATCCATGCCTACTAGCTATAAGTTGTCCTCTTTTCTATCTTTGCTGGCGCATTGCTGCATATCTTGGAGTGTTACAGATAAAGGTAAACAACTCCAGAGGACGCCTTTAATCTCTTGCTAGTAATGTCACTATTGCTTGCTCTACCTATGTGTGTAAACAATCACTGCAGAGGAATTAGTCATACCTGTTCCTTTAGGGGTAATGAAGAACATTCTGGTACATGGGACAACATACTAACTTCAGCAGGCCGAGGAAAAGTAAATGCTCCAAGAAATGAACAATGAAATCACAAAGGCAGACAACTGTTTGAGAGTATCTTGGAATGGATATTTCCCTAACACTTTCCAATAGGGGCGTGCAGTTTGCCACCATTTGCTCATGTCTGAATTAAACCTAAAAAACACACATGCATCTTAACAACAGATAGACATAATCCATGCACACTCACAATGGGGTGTGTGAGCACGAAGGCCAGCCATCCTCCCAGCAGCAGCGTCAGAACAGCCAGAGTAAGACGATCCTCAGTCATATAGACAGGAAGCACAGTGGCCGGTCTCTGGGCCTGTCCTGATGTCCTCCCATCAGTCCCTCCACTATTAGCATTGGTGTCGCTATGGCTACCAACAACTGTCTGGAACTGAAGGACACAATAACAACAACAGGGATAAGAAAGAGTGGAAATATATGATGTTCACTTGTTTTTGTTAAAGGGGCATTTTTCACATAAATGATTTGGTCACTGGAACAGCTTGAAGTAGGCTATAACGGACAGTAATAGCCTGATAGAAGAGGGTCATCGTCTGATTGCATTCCTGTAATTTACGGACCCTCAGGTTTAGACTGCAGTAGTGAAGTAGTTTGGAGCTGTGACTCACGTAGCGCTGGTGGTAGAACGAGGCAGGAGAGACAGGGGTGGCAGAAGGTCGAGGGGGGATTGCCTCACCCGAACGCTGCAGGTTGACAGGGAAATCCCTCAGCATGGTGGTGTGAGCTACTGGAGGGAGCTCATGATGACCTTAAACCCACAAACACACAGATATAATGCATTCAGAGCTGCTTGAATGTTTGTAATGGAGGAATGGTGGCTGTGTGTGTATCTTTACCTATTAGCAGCCAGTGGTTTTTCCGGCTGTTTGTGCTCCCTGGTGGATAACGCACATCAGTGGACGGTGTGATCTCACACTCCCCTCGCTCTCTGACCGTCACTCCAGCCGTCAGTGGACCCTCAATTCGAGCCAAGGTCAGTCCCCGAGGCTACCGTGGCAACAAGAAGCACAAGCCAGTCACGTAACAGCTATCTTGCTATCGTCTCAATCATTATCAGTGCCTTACTGTCCGATACACCTGTCTGATATACTGTATAAATATATGTATGTATTACTATGGGTGTTTGGATAAAGCAAGAGGGAGAATCGCCACAGATGCATCGCCTGGATGTATAAGGAAACTGGGTGTGTGAATGAATATCACAAAAATTTTAACTCACCACTAATGAGATTCCATGGTGGACAAGGGAGGTGGAGGCATACAGGTGGGAGTCTAATTTTCCAACATAGAGAGTGGGTCTTGAAGAAAAAAAAAAGTTAGGTTATTCCCTTGAGTGTCTATCAGCAGGATATCTCAGAAATGTATAAACTGGTATTTATTGGAATGGATAGATTGGGACTGGAAATAACAGGGACATGAAACACTGTTTTCGTTATACTATTGCCACAGAAAATGCATATTTCGGACTGGCTGGCGGGTGTCCCCTAAAACACAAAACCACACAACTCAAACATAGATCCAGCCAACAGTTTAACAACCGCTCTAAATCAGTGCACCACGTGCTGTATAATAAACTGCAGAATTAGTACTTCATGCTGGGTTACCAGTTAACCCTGAGTGTTAACAGGCCTAATCAAAGGATAAACAGACTACAAGCAAACTTTTAAAATGTGTGACATTTTTATACACAGCTTATTTTAGTAGTAGTAAGTGGATGAGTGAGCGTGATGATATAACCAAAGATAACTTGAGAGAGACAAGAACAGATTCAGCAGTTCTTGTTCTTCCTTGTCCATTACATGTGTATGTCAGGATAAGTCTTAGTGTGTTATCACTTTTAGGTGACTGGAACAATGCCTTTGGCTGTAGGAGGAAATTGGAAAAGTGTCGGCCAAGCTTTGTGAAGTCTGAGAGGCTTTTATTTACCAATTTAATAAATGACTCTGTGTGTGTACAATTCCTCTTACACAAGTTGTGTCTGAGCGCTGGCTTGCTCCTTCACAAACTGATAGCTCCATTTCAATGTAGAGTGTGCATCTGCCTGGTCGTTGGCAGAGGAGAAGGTGAGAAAGCGTAGCGTTTCCATAGCGAGGGACAGGTGGGGGGCGTGTCTTAGTGAGTCGCCAGAGTACAGGTAGACACCAACGACAGGCGAGCCATAGTTTTGAGTCCACAAGACGTCACCTGGAAGAAAAACACACAACTTACTGGAGAAGGTAGAGATGAAATAAAGACACAGACCAACCCTCAGACATTTAAAGGTAATAAAATATTCACATAGTAAAAACCACACACCTCTCCCTACCTGACTCTCTGTCAACCGTCACAACAAGACCATCGCCACTCGACACAAGATGGGCCATCTCTGCAAGTACAGGTAGGACAGGTCAGTTTTGGACAAGATGGAATGTGACCCCTTTGAGTTGTTTCATTTCATTGCTCAATCTTGAACAGCGTTTTCAGGTTGTTTTACAACATAAATATTAAACTAAAAAGCACTGCGAGCACACATTCCTGCACCAAGGTTGCACAATCCTCTAAATTTTAATACATTTTAAATCTATATCTCAAACTGAATGTGTATCCGAATACACACTCACAAACACTAATGTGCCAAATGTGCCAAATTTGTTTCATTCAAGTAAGTGCAGTAGTTCATGAGCAAGTAGACATAAAAAAAATCCAGCTAATTAACCTGCCATGTCAGTCTGTGTAACAGAATATATGTATGTGAGAAACGTACTGTAGTCTTGTTTCTCATCATAAGGTGGAGCTGAGTAATCATTGTATGTAGCGTTCCACCGCAGCTCCTGTGTCTTCGTGTCAAACATGGTGACCATGTATTCTGGAAAACAAACAGAAGTTCACAAACAGTAAGCCAAGATGCACGCAAACACCTCAGCCATATATATGTGTGTGCATGTTAGTGGGCACCTGTGCTACATGCCTGTGCGTCCAATGTAGAGCAGAGGAGTATTGGGACAAATGGATTCTGAGGAGGAGGTGGTTAAACTGGTTTGCTTCTCACCCGTTTCAGGATCCACCACGAACCACACATCCTGCTTTTTACCTGCAAGTGCACATACGCACACACACACACAGAGAAAAATATTAGCAAACTGCATTGAAGTATGTCAAATATGTTTCTGTCCGTCTCAGGACACAACTATTATAAAGTAGCTGCTGTATTTCTCTGCATATCTATCTCTCACACACGCAAGTGCACACATAAGGTCTCACCTGTATAGAGAATACCATCAGAACTCCTGCAGGGAGCTGACTGAACCAGCTCTGGGATGGTGAAGGGAAGTTTCTGCAGATATATACAAACAATGGGTTCATAAGGTGGAAAATGACACACACATACACACACATACTGCAGTCATTACCATCAGGCCTTCCTTGTGCTTGCCACCCAGGACATACAAGCTGCCATCGTTGGGATCTGGGAGAAAACCCGGCCTACAAAAAACAACATTCACACATCAGTCCACTGATTAGATTAGGTGTGCTAAATAACAGATCTAAAAATACTTAGCCTGAAAAAAAAAGACAGTTTTGAAATGTTTATATGCGTATGTGCAAACTTGCATGTGCATGTTACTCACTCTGTGAGGTAGACAGGTACTTGAATAATAGGGTCTGAAAGAAATGAAAGAACCATTCCATGAGAAATATTTTTACAAAATGAAAATAAAGATTGGGAAATAGTATTGATATTGATGTGTATGAACCTTCTCTTAGGGTCCACTTGATGTCTCCTGACTGTTTGGAGACAGCATGCAGACTCCCATCCAGTGTTGAGACAAACAGGAGGGATTCTGGGAGCGTTACGGATCTGACCCCTCCAACCTGATGGGTTGCCAGAGACAGAGAGACAGAGAAACTTCAGGCCAGCTGTCTGATAGGGAGTTCAGTCACATGTCATGTATCTGGGATTTCAGCATAGCTTATATACAGCATGTGTGCGTTTGTGTGAGTGGGTGTGTCAGGTCTGATAAAGGTTGACAGTCTAGTACTGCAGTAAGTTTCTGCTCTAGAGCAGGATATCCTTATCCCCCCTCCCAACACAATGCCCTATAATGTGTCCGTGCTTACCGCTCCCATATTTACCCACCAAGGGGTGGCAACTGGCAATACAGAACTGAACAGCACACAATAGCAAACACTGAGTCAAGACATGCAGATAGACGCGCGCGCGCACACACACACACACACACAGGCACGCACGCACGCGAAGTATTAACTTTCTTCAGGCAATTTGGACTAAACGTCGTATCATATCATGGCAACTTTACTGGAGCCTAAAATAGACACAGAAACGCAGTGGGATGCCAATTGCGCTCTCCGCTGCGCATAAATACGCACAGTATTAACAACAACACCACCACCACCACCACCACCACCACCACAAAGAAGGCACACAGTTTAACGTTACCTGAAATAGTTTGCCTTCCCAGGACAGTAGGAGAAGAGACAGCAGCAGGCGTCCCAGAGCCCCTATGACCCCCGAAACACTTTCTTTCATGGCCCTGAACAAACGGAGGACTAAAAGCTATTGAACTAAAAACAGAGGTCGAACTCTCTCTCCATTTCTAGCACGGGCTGGTCTGTCAGAAAAAGTTAGCACCGGCCGTTTAACATCGCGGAAGCAGCGCGGACAGTTAACAAACACGGTGAAATCCAAGCTACAAGTACCGTTTCAGACCCATAACAATAGCAACGCAACGGTTCGTGCCACTATTCCACATTTCCGTGTTGGGACGAAAGCGGTGACGTCAGGAGCAAACTGTCAGGCAAAGAGGTGGGCGGGGCACCTCTGCTCCTTCGCGCTGAGTGACAGGAGGCTCAGCCAATGGGTGGAGAGATATGAAGCAGAAGGGGAGGGGCTGCAGAAACGCCTGGAACACGTGGAAACGCACAGCAGGACAGTAGTGAACACAACAAGTGCGGCTTTTTGTGCAATAGAAAGCAGTGGAGGGCGTCATTGTTTGTTGTTCTCTCTATCTCTGCACTCCCCACAGTCCCATGCATACATGAACACCCACATCTCTGGTTGAAGTGCTTTTACATCAAGGTCTCTTAGTAGCTGTTTTTGAGGTACTATAGCCAACTTAAATTTCGGTTGTATTTCATTTGATGTACAGTGGGTACGGAAAGTATTCAGACCCCTTTAAATTTTTCACTTTGTTTCATTGCAGCCATTTTCCAAAAATCAAAAAAGTTCATTTTATTTCTCAGTAATGTACACTCAGCACCCCATCTTGACAGAAAAAAACAGAAGTGTAGAATTTTGCAAATTTATTAAAAAGAAAAACTGAAATATCACATGGTCATAAGTATTCAGACCTTTGCTCAGTATTTAGTAGAAGCACCCTTTTGATCTAATACAGCCATGAGTCGTTTTGGGAAAGATGCAACAAGTTTTTCACATCTGGATTTGGGTATCCTCTGCCATTCCTCCTTGCAGATCCTCTCCAGTTCTGTCAGGTTGGATGGTAAACGTTGGTGGACAGCCATTTTCAGGTCTCTCCAGAGATGCTCAATTGGGTTTAAGTCAGGGCTCTGGCTGGGCCATTCAAGAACAGCCACGGAGTTGTTGTGAAGCCACTCCTTCGTTATTTTAGCGGTGTGCTTAGGGTCATTGTCTTGTTGGAAGGTAAACCTTCGGCCCAGTCTGAGGTCCAGAGCACTCTGGAAAAGGTTTTCGTCCAGGATATCCCTGTACTTGGCCGCATTCATCTTTCCCTCGATTGCAACCAGTCGTCCTGTCCCTGCAGCTGAAAAACACCCCCACAGCATGATGCTGCCACCACCATGCTTCACTGTTGAGACTGTATTGGACAGGTGATGAGCAGTGCCTGGTTTTCTCCACACATACCGCTTAGAATTAAGGCCAACAAGTTCTATCTTGGTCTCATCAGACCAGAGGATCTTATTTATCACCATCTTGGAGTCCTTCAGGTGTTTTTTAGCAAACTCCATGCGGGCTTTCATGTGTCTTGCACTGAGGAGAGGCTTCCGTCGGGCCACTCTGCCATAAAGCCCCGACTGGTGGATTGCTGCAGTGATGGTTGACTTACTACAACTTTCTCCCATCTCCCGACTGCATCTCTGGAGCTCAGCCACAGTGACCTTTGGGTTCTTTTTTACCTCTCTCACCAAGGCTCTTCTCCCCCGATAGCTCAGTTTGGCCGGACGGCCAGCTCTAGGAAGGGTTCTGGTCGTCCCAAACGTCTTCCATTTGAGGATTATGGAGGCCACTGTGCTCTTAGGAACCTTAAGTGCAGCAGAAATTTTTTTGTAACCTTGGCCAGATCTGTGCCTTGCCACAATTCTGTCTCTGAGCTCTTCAGGCAGTTCCTTTGACCTCATGATTCTCATTTGCTCTGACATGCACTGTGAGCTGTAAGGTCTTATATAGACAGGTGTGTGGCTTTCTAATCAAGTCCAATCAGTATAATCAAACACAGCTGGACTCAAATGAAGGTGTAGAACCATCTCAAGGATGATCAGAAGAAATAGACAGCACCTGAGTTAAATATGAGTGTCACGGCAAAGGGTCTGAATACTTATGACCATGTGATATTTCAGTTTTTCTTTTTTAATAAATTTGCAAAATTTCTACATTTCTGTTTTTTTCTGTCAAGATGGGGTGCTGAGTGTACATTACTGAGAAATAAAATGAACTTTTTTGATTTTTGGAAAATGGCTGCAATGAAACAAAGAGTGAAAAATTTAAAGGGGTCTGAATACTTTCCGTACCCACTGTATATACCTTATACTTCCACTTCACTATTT